TGTGCAGGGTTTTTACCTATTTATCTAACTGGAGGAGTAGTAAAATTTTTGCCCCACAAGAGCAGACATATTAGGCTTGCTCTTGATTTTCACGAGGCGATCGCTGACCCGGGCGTAGTGCAGGCCAGAAAACTAGACGGCGGGGGATCTGGCACGCTCTGCTCTCAGCTCCGAAACAGGAAATGTCGAACTCCTTTTTAGCTTGAGGTTCTTACTAGAGTATACATTGGACTGTGCACTGCAGTTCGACGCCTAGGGTCACCCCCAGTACGATGAGGTGGCCACCATAGTGGAGACCAAAATATATTGAAAAATATTGTGACGTGGCCGGTTGTGGTGCGTTCGATGAGGACAAGCACGCCACACTCCTTACTTTCGCAAATTTTTGAGGCAGCGAGCTCTACTAAAAAGTGCCAAGCACCTGCTATGTGTTATTCTGTACACAATACTCGACATATTAGAGCACATAACTGATAAACGTTTGACCAGAATAAATGCTCAAATGTCCCAAATCACTCGGTGGTGTCAGACTACTATTCACAGAATTATCAAAGGCATAGTAAGTTGCTTATGGGGTGTGTGCAAGCAATACTGAAAAGAAGGGAGATAATCATGTGTGCTCCCTCAGCTTTATACTCTTCTCGCATTTTCAGTGTAAGATATACGATATTAGACTTAGAGAAAGATGCATTGATACATGTAAACAAACTAGTACTAGTCCGAATTGACGATATCCCCTTTGCTTTTCGTTCCAAAAACGATATACAGCTTGATCTGTTACCAGCTGTGCCGAGCCCTGTTGTGAACTCACCAAGATTCGTAGCAAAAATATGGGTCCGTATCAATTGATACTCGGACAGCAGCTCGCAGCCGCATCGTGTGGTAATTACCGATGTGCGACGCAACCTTTATTGCGCTGCGCTACGCGACAGTCTCTCTCGCCTCTCTAATACCTCTCTCTCAATGACGGTCTCTCGCCACGCTCTGAGGTGCGAAATGACCTGGATTATACAATTGTGACGGCCAAAAATTTCTCTTGAATGAAGGTTTCAATGAAACAATCTCAACAAAGGATTCTAAAAACATTTAAACAAACACAGACTTAAAACAATGACCAGAAATACTCAAACGATTGGGCCATCCGACTTAAGGGTTTTCAAAATTTTTTCGAATTCACCGAATATTGACACATTTCAGAAATGAGATTTTTGAGAAAGAAAATATCTGGAAATGGTCGAATAATTTATTCGAAATCAAAACTAGGTTTGAAAATAATTTAATGGCTTTTGAAATTTTAACTCGAATTTCTGAAAATCATCAGCGCTTTTAGTATTTTTATAGAACTCATAGTAAAGAATAAACAATTTAGGCCGTTTTGGTGCTCCTCTATTTCTTGTTCTTTCTAAGCAATTTATTTAGAGAGGAATGGCTTTACTATGAAAATTTAGGTATTTCAAGAAAATTTCGAAAATTAGTTGCAATCATGCATTTTGTGAATGAAAAATCCGGTACTTTTACGAGACATTCAAGTTCTCGAGAAGCGGAAAAAAAGCGGGAGGGAATTTAAGTTAGGAAATATGACCACAGTTGAAAAGTGTAAAGCAACTTATCTTCAACTTACCTGATTCGCTGACAGTCATGTCAGTATACATACAGTTATTTCTAATTTAATTGTATTGGCTGCGCCATCAGTACTGCGATGCGCGACCTAGGCCTTTTCGCACCTCAGAGTGTGGTGAGTGAATGGCATAGATTCGGGCTGCCGCATAGCGCAACGCAAGTAAGCCTGCGTCGCTCCTGCTAATTATCACCCGGTGCGGCTGCAAGCGGCTGCCCGGGGGTATCAATCGACCGCCTCCCCAAAAATATCCATTCTAGGAGGTGTCAATTGTAGAGTGATAAGTAAAAAGAACAATCAGTGATTAACGACTAATAAATTTAATCTGCATTTGATATCTACGTTCTAGTAACAGCACTTTTTCATTCTTCCTTTCCTCCAGTGTTCTGAAAGGTGTTTACGGTCTGTAATCTTGTCTCAAGGCAAGATCTATGCTATACGGATTCCCGCCATGCCAATTTTGGCTGACTGGGATTGGACAGAGTGTATAAATCTTTTGTTATATCGTGTCAACGGATTTGACTGCGGTCTTTGCACCCATAACAGCATAGGACCCTCAAGTCGAAAAGCATCACCTCAACGTCGCTACAGTGTCTTCTAACTATCATACGTAAGCAGAGAAGCCATTGGGGCAAAAATGAAAACCAAAAAATTGCGGTTATCAGAAGTGCTCGGGTGTCGCGCCATCGTCGAGGTTTTTCGAATGCCTTATACCTCCTTCTGGAGTGCGACTGCAAACTCCTAAATTTCTGCAATTTTTTAAAGCTGAGAGAAATTTTATTCTTACCCTATTAAACAAACAAATTGTATATTGAGTTCGATAGAAGTCATGATGTTATCGTGTCATGTTGCTGCAGACAGTGTAAAAACACTCTACGGCAAAGCGGACACGCAAAGATTCAAGAACATCGACAAAGAAGAAAGACCGGCCTTAGAACACCTAGTGAAGAAAGAGCCGCCTCCACCACCGTCTAGTGATGAAAGCTTGCAAGGAGGGGGGTATGATTTTTTGATGAGATCGACATACTTTAGGATTCCAACTGTAAATTCTACCTCAAGGTACATTGTACTTTGAGCGATTGGTATTCATCAATTTACCTTAACACGTTTCGGACCGCGAAATCGCGCGCGGCAAAGAAGAGGGTACTTTTAGCCGTTAGCCAACAAAGGGACCTTAATTCGTACACTGTGTGCTGCATCTGTAATCAGCATGTCAATTAAGACTCATACTGAGTGAATTCGAAGTGTTTGAATTTTGTCGCCTGAGAAGGACTTCTGTGCTTTCCTGAAAGATAGGAACAAGAACTCAGTTTCTAATTGTATCCAAAAAGTATCTATGTTGTGCACGATACACGTCATTATTGGAACTTTGGTTTTTCTCTTTTAGTTCGAAGCAAAGGAAAGTTGCGACGTCGCACGCGTCGTTCGCGTTTGCGGCACTTCGTTGCAACTGTTGTTCGAATTGTCCTCATATCTTCTGAACAAATATCGGCGGCACAGCCTCACAGAGTCATTTGAAAAGGAGGAGCTTAGGAATTTGACTCAATAACCTTGAACCCAAACCTCCTGCAAACACTAAGAAGATCATTGAAAGGCGCGTGCTGCACCATGTGCAGCACCGGTCCGAAACGTGTTAAGGTAAATTCTACCTTTGCCAGCGCGCTATACACTGACGTTATGCATTGATTCCAAAAGCAACAATAACACAAGTCACGTCAACGGAAAATATACTTTGGACCGTCTACCATGTTGCCTGTGACCATGTTCGAAACTCTGCAGAGATTTCGATTGACAATCCATGCAACAAATGTTCAGTTCAAAATTCGAGCAACTCGATTCAGATCAATCATTGTCCGGACTCTTATTGAGGTATATCAGCGCCAAATAAGGCAGAAGTGTGGTCTGGGCATACATACTTGAGGGAACAAATCTATGGCGCACGGTACAGGATGTGGTCATGTAGGCGGCGTAGCAGGAGGAAATGCCTTGCCGCCATATGCGCACTAAATAATTATGAGCGCGAGCACTGTGTAGAGAATTTGGCAGGGATCCAGAAAAATTTGCTAAAGAAACTTAAACAACCGTAAAAGAACAAATCTCTGTAATTCTGCTTGCCTAAACGCAGAAGTACTACAAATGGCAGTTTGGAATCCTAGGGTTTGTTTATGAGATACCTAAATGAATTTTAAAGAATTCTCGGCCAAAATTTTTATGATAGAATTAGCATTCAAAATGAAGGCTTGAATTCGTAATTTCAATTCACAAAATTGCTGTACTTCTAGCAAACAAGTACAGATGTTTATTAGCATTCAAAAAATTTTTAAGGCTCGATAGCTTCAAAAATCCTGAATATCACTCTGATGACCCCTCCAAATCCTCGCAAGACCCAGCTTCATCGGTTTTTTTTTTGAAATTGCACAGAAGGCGAGCTATCAGATCTTGAGATGGCATTTATTTGTAATACACTCTCCAAATAGGCTTCGGATTCATCGAAGAGGATCCCAAATAACTCAAGATTCGGGAATAAAAATTTTATTTTCATTTTCATTATTTCTTTTCAATTTGTAAACAAAAGCGTTTGAATTCTGTAGGCAAGGTAGATTATGTTTCCTGGCTATTTTGCGGTGTGCTGTGTGCATAATTGCATACCTCCTTTCCATCATCAGTCTGGATGGGAACTTATTACCGCTTTGAAAATGCAAAAAAAATCTTCATGTGTGAAATCATAAGGAAGTAGGCGAAAATTTGATTGAAAACCAGCAGTTATCAGTATTACGTCTCCATTAATAAATGCTCCTTGAAATGCAGTTTACAAAACTGTCTCAAGCGAACTTTTGAGCATTTACTTTTTCAGAAATCTCCCTAGGATTCATTTAAGGTTCTTTTGGAGCCTTGAAGCTCCACCACAGTACTCGGGCAATCAATTATCTCTTGAGGACACAGCCGGCCAGACCTTTGGTTCCTCGCGCGCGTCTGCAGTCATGTACAGCATTTAAAACTATACTAGTGATTTGTAATTACGATTCCTCCTTGGAGCACATTTTCTTTGGCATTGCCTTACTCTAGGAGCTGATCTTGATGTAAAGATCACGAGCTGCCCATTTCGCAATGACGATGATGATAGTGGCCAAGTCCTGCTCATTAGTGATTGAAAGGTTAATATGTAAGCGTTTTCTTTTGAACAATGATGTGCCGTTTCTAAGTGGTAATGCCAAGGAATGGTCGGAACTAGCGTGTTTTTAGCGTTTTTGGTAAAGTGAGGTCATAGTGAAAAAAACTTTATAGTTTGTAGAACCGCTTCAACTAAAATGGTTCTCTTTCGATAAGGCAAATGTATTTTTGGAAATTAGGCCGAAGATGAAAGCAGCCAATTTTTTTGTTTCTAACGTGTCGGATCTCGAATAAATCTTTCTGGGACCTTAATCAGTGATTGCAGCCATATCTGGGATGACCCCATAGGGTATAATGCGATGTCATCAGCAAGTTCGTACTCTATTTCGCAAACGTACTGAAAAACTCGGTATCGTACTAAAAGTGGATGCTGGAGGAAGATCGCAAATAGCTCTAACAACCCATTACCTCAGCATTAACCTTTTCGAATTCTTTCTTCAGCTTTTCTCTGACGCTTTTACTGAGATTTTTCTCAAGGCAGTTGTAGGATGCAGCGCCTTTACACAAAATCTGAAATTACTATGATGGGCAGATGCTCACAAAGAAATGCGACTCACGCAAAGTATGAAGTACAGACGATACATTGCTGCTGGATACCTGATTTGCCTGTATTTAACCATCTAATCAAAACACTGCGTTCTCATTCTAGTGAAACACCTGTCCCAAGTCACCTGTCTCAACTGTATTATATTCATTCGCATGCCTTGCTGAAGCTATCATCAAAACATGCTTTCACAGTTCTGATTGCACATTCCAACCGTACATATTCTCTGTATATAGTTCGCCTCCACATTTCGTGTTCAGAAGAATTCGACGTGGGTAAAGTCCATGCAAACGCAAGCATTCATGCAATTCCGTACAATTCTTGTTCTGTTTACGCAAACTGTTTCTACACTATATTTTCCTATCCTACATAAGCAACTTCTGAGCTTGGGAAGACGTTGTGAAATCTTCGTTGTTATTGTGTGCCATGGATGACCAATGCATTTTTATAACTGTTCTCCTTGAGCTTATTGAATGAAAATGAAAATGAAGAAAATATTCTCCTAAAGCCTTCACAAGTCTGCATACTGCACGGATGCAGTAAAAATACCAATTACGTTTCCTCGGTTAAAAATGGCGGCCCAGACGGAAAGAACGTATCAGAGAAGGAGTTTGAAATAAATTCCTATCATTTTTTTGATGAAAAGTGAATTTGTCTGGGTAAGATCATCACCTTCAAACAAAATCGATCTATTAGGTTCATGCACGATTTGCTTGAGATTTTTGAGCAATATTCTATTGCGCCGTTCAACCACAGCATCCTACTTGCTTTTTCATTTCGTGTCAATCATGTGAAAGAGCGCATTAGTAATCTTCATTTCATAGCGTATTTACAGAAAGTCAAAAAATAGACAAAATGATTATCAGCCGTATTTTCATGACAATTTTACAAACGCTGGAAAGCCAATAATAAATTCAAGTATGGCTTTTCTATGGAAAATGCATAGAATACGCGCAGAGATCACAGGGAAAAAATTGCAAAAAACTTTAGAAGGCGGCCGACTTCTTTTTTACAGCACCCATTTCAATATCCGCATCGACGAAGTCCACTTGATCTTCCTTGATGATCTGAAACAAGGACTCCTTGATGAACGAGATTCTGAAGTAACACACTTCATAAAGTCTAGTTCCGAGCGAAGGCGGATGCTTGCACCTGCGCAGCGGGCAACAACGCGGTCGCGTACCTGCACTTATGCGAGCATCCGTCTTCATCTGGGATTAGACTATAGAGATACGTACCTGTGCACTATCGCCGCTTGTTCGCAACCGAGTGAGTTTTTGTCGAGACCGTGCTTGTGCAGATACAGAGTTCACAATCTGAATTTCCAAATTAACACGGATTTCTTGTAGGAGAGCATAGCGAACCAACAAGGTCATGTGTCATGTTTAGCAAAGGCTCCCTTATTTGCGGTGAATCCATTGCATCTAGCAACTCCTCATCTCTTATGACAGATCGGGTATTCACTAAAGATAGAAGCTGTAAAAGCTTGAGTCAAAAGGCAGACAGACCAAAGCTTTTATTGAGCACTGAGCAGCTCCTCGAATTCCAAGGACGAGTTACACAGCAAGCCAGTCGTCGAAACTCCGTCATTCGGAAGTAACACAACGTTTGACAGACAGAATGCACGTCAATTAAAATCTAAAACTGGTATAAATCAATCGAACTGGTTCTGACTTTGAACCAGTAATACCATAATATATCATTATCGTCCACCTATAATTCATTTTCTTATCATTCATCTACTCTTATCAATTTGAAAATATTGAGAAAAAGATTAAATTTCGCGCATTCACACATTAGGGCGGTATATTGTTCAAGAGAATTGAATTGTAAATAGCCGGACACTTTTGGAGATTTTTTGAATTAAAAAAATGAACCTTGCAAAAGAAATTTCTGGGAACCTGGCACTCACACCCCTTATATCAAATCTCGAATTTAAAAGTCCGCAAAAACTTGGGCAACATTCCAGAAAGCTTTCGGAAAGCGTCAGCAACGCCAGGCTTCTGCTTTCTGAAAAAATATTTTCTTCCCTCCCCTCCAAAAAAAATTTCGTGAGCTTCCACCAGGTTTCTTAGAGAAAGTTTTGTAATGGACACTGGTATTTTCTTCATGGTCAAAAGCGTATAAAATCCAAGCGGATATCATGAACGGTTTTTTAATAAGATTTGGCTTTCTAAGAAATTCCGATTTACTGACCTGTAGCCACCAACGTATCAATGTGCTGCTATGCGTAATCTCTATCAAATGATTGATGTGTAGAAAAGCGACCGGCTGAATTCCTGAGTACGGGCAGAGAAATAACAAATCCACTATTAATACTGTTCCAATCACATAAATATACTTATGCCGGCCTACAGCTTGCATCCTAAAACGAAAAGAAAAATTATTTTCAAAATCAATTGTATTGTTCAAGCGCTCACTTTCTTCCAGAGTTTGAATTAGCGACACTCATAGCTCGATGTCTTTGACCGTGTTCGTTAAGAATAGTACCATTTTCATCCTTGAACCTCTTGATTGTGCGAAGTATGAAGGTATAACATACCTATAAAATGCATTTTCGTAAGTAGACGAAAAGATAATGGAATTGATCAATACGCCATTTAACATGACAAGGAAAGGCTCGTCTTTGAGGGTTGGACTGTGCTTGATGAGCTTACGGTAGGTATACTGTACTGGTTTGTAACCCATAACGCTGAAACGTTGTTTAGGAAAGTTTTTCATATGCTCATCGCATTATATCACAGCTAATTACAGCCTATTACGGTTCAAAAACTTCAAGATGATTTACCTTGACACCCAGGAAGGAGAGACAGTTATTGTAACGATTTAAGTATCGTTATAGTGTGCAAAATGTCGAATACCCAAAGACGAGGCTTCAGCGAATTCTATGATATGAGTCTCTTATCGTACACCTACCGTACTACTAAACAAATAGTATTCAAGGATTTCTATACTGTGAATCAGGAGTTTCAGTGGAAAAATTGCTTTGTGTATTATACTGCAGAAAAGCTTTTTTGGTAGGTGGGGAAGAATTGGCGCTGTTGGACTGTGTGATATTTAAAATTTGTTCAACAACGTTCTATGTGTTTGCTAAAATCGCCGATAGATTTGCTATTTTTGTTCGAAAGTATTGAAGTATCAGCAATGAAAAATTTTTTTTTGTAAGATTGTGTTCGTTGAAATAAAAGTACAACAAGGTCGAATTATATGCGGCTATAAAAAATTTTTTGTTGAAACCAGTTTTCGTATGATATATCCTACTGATGATTAGAACCCCTCCCGTTATTCCAGTTCCCCAACAAAGGCATTTATGAGCTTGAGTGACTCCATTCTCTAATGCTGCATGGCTACTCGCCTAATCTCAACATCAGCCTATTCATCCTAGCATTTCTTATGACTTATGAACTTTTTATTTGCTGGAGATGACGAGGAGTTTGGGCGCTTCGTGATGTGGGATTATCGCCTTTTCTAGACTTATTTTGAAAACAGATTAAGAAAAAACTCACCACCACTATGGCTAATACCACTATGCATAACACAGATATCATCAACATGCTGAGAGTGGCAATATCAATGTGCCAAGGCTTGTCTGCAAAATAAGGATTCTGCGAGGATTGGCGGAAGTTCGGCGAAACCTTGGCGGAAGTTTGGCGAAAATTTGGCGAAAATTTTCAAAAAATCCTACATGAATCTTGAAAATATGGTGAGGATGGTGTAACAAGTAATCCTAGACCCATAACCACGCTTACCATCCAGCTAAAAAACGATTGATTTGGATCAACATATAGTAAAAATAGAAAAAATGTATAAAACCCCACCAGGAAGCTAATATTGCTATTATAGAATTGCTCTACGTCGAAAGTATGTACGATATGCAGTGGATAACGAATCACAATGAATTCATTTGTGGTAAAGACAAGTAGATTGAATATCGTCAGCAAATTACAAATGCTTAGTACTACGAGAGCAAATGTTGATGCTGTTGGTTGTTAGGTTAATTTTTTACTTCGATCAAGTTTTGTAACTAAGTTCAGCAGTCTCTTGGTGATTTTGAAAAGATTCTTATAATTGTCAAATTTCAGCACCTTTCAACTATGCAGTTTTGAGAAAGGATGTGAGGATAAGTTTCTAAGTTTTTCTCGAGTTGTTCATGCATACTTAATTGTATTTTTGAGATCTTATGTATCATAGCAAATCACAATGTCATTTAAGCTTCCAAGCCTCCTTGCCCTTTAAGTCATTATTATTACCCACCATTCTGATCTCCAATTTAGAGGTAAAGGCACAAAAACTGTTATTTCTCTCAAATCCAAATCTCCAATGCCTTTATTTTTAGACAACATACAAAAGGAGATATGTTACCTCCTGAAAGTATAGTTGATGACACTGGACTTCCTGAGTCAATGTTGGAATTCCTGAGAGCTGAAGGAAGCGTAATATACAGAAAATGTAGTCCCTACAGTGCCTACAGTAATTCCATGAAACATCATACTATTAGGTTGTAACAAAATCAATGCAGGTTTTGAATTCCAACCGCAGTAAGTCATACACTTCTCATTTCTAAGTAGGTTGCAAAACACCATTCGATAGAGCAAAGCAATCTCTACAAGGCGGCAATCTTGCTTTAGCAACAACTCTGATCCACCACGAGTTTCGAGCCAAAAACTAAAAAGATTTAACTGTCCGAAGAATTGAGAGAAATCGTAATTCAGTTCCTAAAAAACCTACAAAAATTCTAACTTGCTCACGTAAACACTATTCACATAAGACATCTATATACGCCTTTGCCGTATTTTTTTCTCTGTTAGAAATCAAGTAAACGGAAATTTTCGTGCATTTGCCAAAGTGTTGCTGTGCCATTCCCACATAAGTAGTTATATACTACAAATCTGTAGAAGTACAAACGTAAATTTTCAGCTCTCTACAAGCTTTAGTTCTCGAGAAATTTGAATTTTAGCTTGGACCATCTGACTAGGGAAAACTATATTCGATATAACTCGAGAACTAAAGCTTGTAGAGAGCTGAAAATTTGCGTTAGTACTTCTATATGTCTGTAGTATACAGCAACCTATGTGGAGAGGGCACAGCATCACTTTGGCAAACGCACGAAAATTTCCGTTTACTTGATTTCTAACAGAGAAAAAATACGGCAAAGGCGTATATATTAGGTCATTTCAAAAATTCGTTCGCCAGTTTTTTAAAATATCATAACTTCCTTCCTTCTTGGTGGAATTTCCCGTTTTAATTTTTGTTTGAAAGAAGAAACCTTTCTCTTTACAATAGTTTCTTTGCCATTAAATGGCGTGAGAAAGTTCGAGAGTTAGAAGCAATTGAATAAATTTACTCAAGATTGGCATTTTTTAAGCTGGATCACAAAGAATTCCGAAAGTGTTATTACTTGATAGAGAAAATTATGCTCTTTACTGTAGTGCTTTTTCCACGAATTAAAACGAAAAAGATCGAAAGTTACAAGCAAATAAAGAGAATTACTTTAGTTCTGCAATTTTTGAGCATGCCCAAAGAAGCCCAAAAACGTCACAAAAAAAGCGGGAAAGCCAAGAACAGGGGTTTTGTGACATTCTCTTTTTAGCTAAGGGATTTTTGCGCTAAGGAAGAGCAATTTTGATTTTCATGGAAACGTATAGCAAATTCCTAAAAAAAATCATTACTTTTCATAGGAACAGTCGTTCAACAAGGAGTTTGCCTAGCTAGAAAGACGAAAACATAAAACATAAGTCTGTGTTTGTTTCGGTATTTTTTGTAACGTTCTAAGATTTTTGGTGAGCTTTTCTAATATTACCAAGATTTGAGTGGTCCTCTTTTCGCATTTTTAATTCTGCGACTTGTGCTTGGTAGAACGAATTTAAGCCATTGTCAGAAACTACATGATCTCTTTATTCTAGAAAAAATTATTCCAGGCAAATCTAGGCAGATAGCAGGGAGTTACGATTTTTTAGAGAGCAATGCGAACGAACTTTTGAAATGACCTAATAGATGTCTTATGTGAATAGTGTTTACGTGAGCAAGTTAGAATTTTTGTAGGTTTTTTAGGAACTGAGTTACGATTTCTCTCAGTTTTTTGGACAGTTGAATCTTTTTAGTTTTTGGCTCGAAACTCGTGGTGGATCAGAGTTGTTGCTAAAGCAAGATTGCCGCCTTGTAGAGATTGCTTTGCTCTATCGAATGGTGTTTTGCAACCTACTTAGAAATGAGAAGTGTATGAGTTATTGCGGTTGGAATTCAAAACCTGCATTAATTTTGTTACAACCTAATATAACAACTACCACCAAAATGCTGGAACTTCTCGTGAAAAAAAAAACTCGGACAGTCCAAATGAAAAGGTAGAAAGGAGGGACAGAGGACAGAAATGGAAAAAAGGCAGAATTGCGAAGTTAGCAAAGTGCAAGTTTCATATGATATTTTTGAACTGGATCAAGGACCAGATCAAAGTTTCTCAAGTTGATACATTCAAGCTCTCTATATCCTCTATCTATAAATGTTATACTCCCAATCAATCCCCTTTGATTTTTTGGTACTTTTCCGTTATCCGGACCCAATTTCTAAAAAAAGAATATCACTTCTCTCTTTGAACCATGTTCAAACCCGATTTCAGTGGAAAGAGTGTGAACCTCTTACCACGTGGCAAAACTTTGACATGTCATTACCGTTCAAAGGCATTGGCTAGGAAGAATTGCAACTGCGCCCTTTCTGTTACTCCTTGGCCTTCTAGATGCGTTTAGACCAGAGCTGTGTTTGAAAAGTCAAAAAAGTGCTTATAGCATTTTCTGGCCTTGGAGGTTGCTGACTCTTCAAGCACAGCTCAGGTCTAAACACATCTAGAAGGCCAAGGAGGAACAGAAAGCGCGCAGTCGCAATTTTTTTTGAACCACTGCCTTCAAAAAGAGTCTACTATGTTTTTGACCGTTCACCGCGCCGAGCCTATAATTATCCGCTCAACTTCGGAGTATGGATTAACATCTATTAGTGAAACGAAAAAAAATGTGCATTGCAGACCGAGGAACTTGCCCCAGGTGGTCATTCTTTACTCTTATATAAAGTCACTGATTAAGCCAGAAATGCGGTCTGGGTAACACATTTGGTGGATTTGTGAGGGACCACAACTGCATTGAGACGATGTTAGTGATTTGTATTTATGTTCCATGTTAATATTTATTTCCTTTAACGTTGTCTTGCGCTAAGAAGAGCGGGTCGCGAAACCAAAGAGGTCGATTCTACACGATGCACATTATCACGAAGAGCTTGAAACGCTGATCTCAAATCTGCTTTCCTTATCTGCAGAACGCTTCCGGAGAGGAAGTTATGGGATTTTGTTTGCAAAAAATTTACAATGGTGAGTATAATTAGAGCTATCAACACATAGGGATTTTATTCTCAAACAGATATCCATGCTTAACGTAACCGGCGCAACAAGCAGTCTGAACGATTTCCATAAATAGTCACTCAATCTATGCAAATTTTGCGAATGAAACATATATACCTTCTATCTCAAAACTGTTCCACATAAGGAAAATAAATATTCAGCGCCTCAAGCTTTTTGTAACGCTATGAATCCCGTGGTAATCGACCATTTTGACTCGACTCTCCCATGTAGAGGCTCCCGCCAGAGTGCCGAAGTTATGCCAGCGCTACGCCAGCATTTAGATCGATACACGTGTGTTTTGTTGGGG